CCTTTCAAGTTCGAGCCATTCAACTTTGTTCTCTGTTTTCACGCCATAAGAAACTATACAAAAAAAGTCATTGTATCAGGATATTGATATTGATCTTTAACCTTGTAATTTGAACTAACCTTGACGGGTTGTTTAATTGGTCAGACTTTGGGTTTGCTCCCCAATAGTCACCAGTTCGAGTTCCCTTAGGGCCACTGAGGTGAGTATCGGACCGTAAACTTCAGGTCCCCGTAGAATTAGTCGAGGTGCGCGCAAGCGGCCCGGACATCCACGGTTATAAAAAAAAAAACCTTGTAATTTGAACTCCGATATGAGATATGTTTCGGAGTATTTCTATACAAGACGTCTATTGATTACTTCTTATTCTCGAGGTTTTTGTTGATCATAATTTTATATTTATTAATTCCATTGTATTTGACAAAAGATAAAACTATTTCTGGAATATTTACTGGAAAAGTTGCATGTTCACATTCACTGTAAAGAAGATAAAAAGCTTGTGATATTGGACTTATGGTTTAGTTTGTTACAAATATCACAGGCAAGAAACATGCTATATGTACGTTGTTTTTTTACATTAACTTTGATATCCTTCCATATAGTATCCACCACAACCTTCGATTTTTTCAACACCCTTTAAAATCACTGGTCAAATTTTGATACAAAAGGGGAAGTCATCCTTAACGTAAATAACAATGTAAATTTATAATAATTCTTTAGGTAATTGCTATAGGTGGAACAGTCAAAATTGAAACAAAAATATGAATTACCCTATCATATGACAAACTAGAAGATAAATGGGATGACTAACATGAAACAAATACGTAAGTTGCTGACTTCTAGTTAAAATTTCTTGATATTTTTTTTATACTCTTTTCTAATTCCTTGTTTGGTAGAAATTAAAATTAAGATTTTAAACTAGGTTAAAGTTAATAATTAATTTTAACTACACATTTTATGAGATTCACAATTTTTCAGCCACACATTCTATCAAATTTTATTAAAATTTACTAAAAATTTGATTTTAATCCATATCAAACAAGGGCTTAATTTTTTAAGTGTATCCATATTTTTTCTACGAAAAATTCTCTCCAATTTCCCTACAATGTTTGTTCTTGCTTTTCTCTGTTTTTTTTTTTAAATCTTTCCCAACAAAAAAACAACTCTTTCCTTTAATAATTATTTGTTACATTGCCTTTATCAAAAAAAAATTATCGAATCGTCTAAATTGTTACTCTAACACTTCATTATTCTTTTGCAGTCCCAACTTAATGTTATAGAACTTGTGGCCCTCTGAGAGGCTGACTGGCTGAGAATGCAGTTCCAATGAAAGTTGAATTTGACCAATACTCCCTCCCATTTATACAAGTTCACTTTTCTTATTTTCTTATCCAAATTATATAGTTTTTTTTCTTTATTGAGAAAAATAATATTATCTAGCACCAGTGGTGCTAGAACGCCAGTTTAGATATAAATATGTGATATGTCATAACAAATGAATTATAAATTCTCGTATTGAATTGTATTTATAATTTAATGATGCAAGTGATGCTACATAAACATGTGTTAAACACTACCGTGCTAAATAACATTACTCTATTGAGAATGATTTTTTCTTTTGTCAAAATTTCGTTTACTGATAAATCCTTATTTAATTTGCTTAGTAACAATCAATTTTTCTTATTTAATCTTGAAATAGTACAAATATAAAAATACCCACTTCTTGAAATCATCGAATTTCTTTGTGGTTTCCAATGAATTTGATCAAAATAATTTATGAATGTGAGAATTGAAAATTAAATTATTTAATTTTTTTATAACTTCCAACAATAATTTACTATTAGTTATTGATAATTAAATAAGAA